TTAGCCTCTCATCCAAATGGCTAAAGAAAAGAAAAAGTATTTTCCCAACTGCCCTCTCATCTGCAGGGCTGCTAAACTGCCTTGAATGGTGTTGGTATTTGACAATATTTTGTGCAGTAATCATTCATTCATTCATTACAGCAAGTAAGTGAGGCATTGTTCTAGAAGCTGGGGATACCATAGTGAATAAAACAGAAAAAATCCCTGTCCTTAGAAAGATTCGATTCCAATGAGGGAGAAGCTGAAAAATAAAAGGCACATAAGTATAAGTATGTCAGAACTATGGAGACAAATAAAGCTATTACAGTAATGCAGGAAAGAGCTGGTAGTCTTTTGGAACAGGGTGATCACATTGGAGCTGTGAAAGTGGTTGAATTATTGAATTATGGCTATATTTTGAAGTTGAAGCTGACAAGATGTACTAAAACATGAGATGTTAGTGTGAGAGAAGAGTCAAATTTTTAAAGTCTGAGCAACGTGAAGGATGTAATTGCCATTTATGGAGGAGAGATTGTGGGTGTTCTCATTTGTTTTGGTCAGTAGTAAGCAAGCTTAGTTTTCGTTTATTCCTGTTAAATTTGAGTTGTCTTTTAGATAGTCAAATGGTGATGTAAAATAGGCAGGTAGTTATTGGAGTTTGAACTTCAGGGAAGGGGCTCAGGCTGAAGGTATAAATCTGGTAGTCATCAGCATGAAGTCATGTGACTAGGTGATACCATGTGAGTGCCAGTGTGGAGAAGGTCTGAAGACTGAGCTTTGGGATTTGCAGTTTAGAGGCCGAGGGTGGGAAAAAGACCCCGGAAACAAGACCTTGAAGAAATGGCTACAGAGGTAGGGAGAAAACAGGAGATGGTGGTCTGAAAGCACAGCGAAGGAGGATGGTTGAGAAAGGAGGTAGTGAATCAATTGTGCAAAGACTGCTCACAGGTCAAGTAAGGTGAAGACTGAGGACTGAGAACCTGTCATTAGATTTAGCAATGTGGAGATGCTTGCTGATCTTGACAAGAGCAGTTCAGGTATGTAGAAGAAGATAAAGGAGGCGGCAGCTTGGGGAAGGCAAGAGATAAGGGAATTTTGTTTTTAAGATGGGAGAAATAAAGCCAGAACCTCTTAACTGATGGTCATGATCCTGGGGTTGCAATCTTACTGAGGAGATTGAAATAAAACAAAAATAACAAAATGGTGAGACCAGGTAATTAACATTAGAATAGTTTAAGAGGATTATAAAGTATTGGTTTCACAGAGAAGGTGAGTTTAAATTCTACTTAAAAATATAAGTTGACTTTAGGGAGATGAAAAGAAATGGAGCAAAGGGCGAAAAAAAAAGAAAAAAAAAAAAAAGAAAAGAAAAAAAAAACACCCAGTATGACATTTGAGCAAGATTGGCCTGGATGAATTCAAATTAAAAAGAGATGGGTGATAGACCTGGAGAGCTAAGTTCTGCCTTTATTATTTTGGCAATGAAGATAAAAAGAGTTAAATAATCACTTCTCTGGTAGCCCTAGAATTAACAATTAAAATCTTGTTAATAATTTTATGATTATTTTTAGCAATTTTTAACTAGAAAATTCTCTCAAATGTCTTCTTAATAAGCACCAGTAGGTATTAGTGAAGTTACAGCTAAAACAACTAAATGATTTAAATAGTTATTATGAAGCATGGGGGGAAAAAGTTACTCTACACATGATAGAAACACTTCTTAAGAACCACAAATTTCTTTTTTAAAGTGTTGATTGTATCCCATTTTTTTTTGTGCTCTGGAATGGTATTTTATAAATAAAATGTAAGACTTAAAACTAATCTACTATATATTTTATAGCTCATAATATCCCCAACTCTTAATTTTGAAAAAATTACACTACTTTATGGATGTAACTTTTAAGGAAGTTTTATGATATTTCTAATTCATATCATGACACTAGAAGAAATTTCATGAAAGGCAAATATAAATTTAAAGTGCTTTTCAACTATGAGTTATCTTAAAAAGCTTTCACCAATCCTCAAAATCATCCTAAATATTAACAAACTTATCATTTAGAATTTTTAAACAGTTGTCAAGTACCTGCAGGTACTAACCAAGTGTTTTTCTTCAACAAGAAAAGCTATTAGGTGGAGCCAGCTGAGCCTGCCAAAATTTCTATCATGTGTAGGTAAAACATGGTAGCGTATTAGCGATTTAATACTGTTCAACATAAAAATTCCAACTGGGCTCTCCCAAGGTTTTCTAGATTGGTGAAAGTTCATATCTAAAGGGGGAGGGACAATCTAAAGGAAGTGGCATTCTCCTAGGAATGTGCACATTCTTTGACATATTGGCTTTTATTAAGTATCTATTACATGGAGGTTCTATCCTAGGTCCTATGGTTCTATTTAGCCTTAATGGTTCACAATCTAGTAAAGATATGAGTACAAATAGATGTACTTATCATTAAAAATTTTACCAGCCTTAAAAGCCCTATGCTAACATTTGAAATGATTAAGCTTACTTGTGGAGGGAAATAAATCTCCCATCTTTAAAGTTTTAACTGGTCAACTTGTTTCACAACAAAATGGTAGGGCATAAAAGTTATTTTATACCAGCACCTCAAGCAAATAGTAGGATCTAGTTTGTAGGTACAGTGAATGGTTTTAGGTGAAGGCTCTGGGTTTTTAATGCTTTGTTGTCTATCCATAAAAATGGGAAGGTTTGTCAAAGGAAACAGGGAAGGATTGGGGTAAATTTGAGGCAGGCGAGTACCTTTTAGGGCCAATAGTAGAGTTTTCAATGTGATTTATATTATAGAAAATCTGAGTTTAGAGAACCTCTATGGCTTTATTTCAATTTCAGCATATCTAAATATTGTTAAACATCTTTTCCTAAAGAATGGTATGACTGAGGAAAGCGCCTAGTTAGTATCTGAGTCAGAGCAGAAAAAATATGAAAACCTATACTATATACAGATATTATCATTGTGGTAACTTCCACCATATTAATCTCTTATCCATAAAAACTCAAAAAGAAAATGAATAGAACATATTTTAATTACAACTGCATTATATTTTAACTATTTTATATACCTATATATAAAATGAAGCAGTGGGGGATATTAAATAAGAGCATGTGATGAAGAAGCAGGGTTTACCAGTTAAGTTTTAGGCTTGAGTTCAAAAAGGAGAGAAACCTATTCACTCTTATGTATCACTGTTGGAGACAAAAGTGCTTCCAAAACCAGAAATACTGATCATCTTTCTTCTTCAATTGTTTCATCAGGAAGAATCTTTTTCAGGCGACAAAACTTACAAGCTAAATTAAAATGCACTCTACTCATTGGCAAGCCACACCAGCAAGAATAATGTGATCACAGTACTTGGAAGTTTTTGATTTATAACTATACTATTCTCTACTTATAAGGCTGCGGTCTAGGAGGCAGCGCAATGAATCATTACAATTGTCTATCTGGGAAATGTCAAAGATTAAGTAAGGGCAGAAGAAGAGAGAAAAGAAAAGAACACACATTTCTGTCTTAGAAATAGTCCTCAATTAATGAGAAGATATCACTAGCACATAAATCCAGTGCTAAAAAAATATTAAATTTAAAAAATCTTCAAGTAAAACTACTAATATATCATAATGCTTAAACTTCCTGAACAAATTATTCTCCAAAGCTCTGATTACTCAGTTATTCCTTTTTTAAGTATCACACTGATTTACACTGAGTTTGAGAAAGCAAATTTAAATTGAGAAAATGAATTAGACATTTAAATCAATCATTAATGGATCCAGCTTTTTAAAAAAAGAACACACAGTTTAATTGATACTTTGCCATACAAAAATAAGCATCCACAGAACGTTTATTTACTGTTTAAATTACTCCATATTTCATATACAATGAACAGAAAATATGTTTTACCCCACACATGATAAGAGCAAACAAGTGCAACCTTTCAAACATTAAAAGTCGGAATAAAATCTGTACAACAGATAAATAAACTTATACCTCAAACAGCTGTAACAACAAACCAAGCTAACCCAAACCAAAACATATATTGTCCAAAGTCACCGGTTTACTTAAAATTCTACTGAAGGTCATTATCTCAATTGTAACAACTTGAATCTTTACTAGACTGCACAAGTTTAGATTGATAAATATTTTTTAAAAATAGGAGAGAGTAATAAGAAAAAAATGATTATAAAGAACTTTCCAAACATTGGAAATAATATACAAAATTAGGGGAAAACATATTAAATGGATCCACAGGGTAACTAGTATTACACTGATATAGCTTAAGGAAAAGAAACAGGTGAATGTTTGAGTTGGAAAGAAAATTTGGCCTTTTTATAAAAAGAAGTTATAGCATCAACAATGACAAAACCCTTTAATGGAGCCTAGAATAACTGTGAGACCAAGTGTACAAATATTTAGGCTTGTATATCTGAGAACCACAGTTAGAAAAAAAACCATGTCAGGAAACAGCAACAGAACAAGAACATATAAATTAACGGCATACTGTTCATCACTCCACTTCATTGCAATATGGCAAGAAAACAACACTGTAGTCATTCTTGGGAAAGTTTTCAATGAAGTAGGAATTACCATGATGAATATCAGTGTAGACAATCTTATTATCACAAATTTAGTAAATATCAAAACAGTGTGACACTAAACTAAATTATCTCTCTATATTTTTTTTTTTACTGGAAAGGCAATTATTTCCCTGCCTTCACATGTTAACTTAAAATCACTTATAAATGGAAATATAGATCCAGTAGAAAAGACTTTTCACATGCAATCTTCTACAATGCATTCTGCTTCATCAATTTTTTTTCAGTATTTCACATTGAATATGTACATTTTCTAAATATTCAACCACACACATTCAACAGACATCACTGAGCTGTCCTCCTCTTACTGCACACATTTTCATTTACCTATACAATTATATCTCAAGATGGATGATTTTCTCCTCTAAGCAGGCAACAGTTAGCTTGAAGAGTTTGAGTATTTTAAAATTTTAGCAACTTAATATCTTGATTTATCTTGAATGGATGATAAGATGAGGAGTCCACAAAAAAATGCAGCTGTACATGCCAACCTCTTCAATAGAGATGAGTTATCTTTAGGAATAAAGATCTGTGCAAGATCATTAGTGATCTGAGAAATTTCATGCGCCACACAAACGAATATGAAAGTGCTGACGATGATGTTGAGCATGGGGTTTCCAGGTATGAGTACTAAGATGCCCCTCGTGTCTGCTGCCAGCCATATGTGATATTGGCAAGTAAATAGCTAGGAGGAAAAACATTTCAAGTTAGATACGTACAGAAGGTCCATGAATAATATAACACAGTTTTTCCTAATTTAAACATCTGATAGCATTATTACATTAGCAGACTTCTCCAGAACCTTTCAATTCTGTTTCACTGCTGGTTCTGAAAAGCCTACTGCAGAGTCTCAAAGTCCCGAAGAAATGAACCACAGGGACTTTGTAATTTACAAAATTCTTTGTTTGGCATCTGTCTTTGCAAGACAGTTGTCTGGACTCTTGTATTCAGTCAGATCTCAAGTAAAGAATGACTTCCGTGTGTGTGTGTGTGTGTGTGTGTGTGTGTGTGTGTGTACCTAACTACAAACCTTTGTGTGTCCATTTATGTATATATTTATGAATGTTTATGAAGGTATAGATTTTCATTGGAAATAGCATAGTGTTTAAGATGTTCCCATGTTTGCTATGTATGGATCACATTCATAATAGATCACATTCATATGTTTCTGAAGTGTATTTCAAGTTCCATGAGTATATATATTAGACGACACCACTATTTATTTTTATTGTGATTACAAATGTGGTTCTTTCTTCACATTGCTTCAAAATATCAGAGTAGAAATATGCTTAAGATACTTCAACAAATATGAAGACCATGACGTTTCTATATTTTAATAGAAACACTAAATAGTAAATTAATTCAATTAAAGTTTATAAAACTCTCATGCTTTAAATATTAAGGGGCATACAAAATAAATATTCTACAGTCCACTGAATGACTTGGTAAGTCTCGCATGATCAAGATTTTTAAATTCTATGAAATCTGATACTTAAAAAATAATAGAACATTTATTCAAGAACTCAAAAGGGACATTCATTTCCCTATTTTATTTTAGTTAATCCTCACAAGAGGGTATTTTTTATATTGATTTTTACAGATTGGAAGGCAGGGAGGAGGAGAAAGAGGTGAGAGAGAGAGACAGAGGGAGAGATATGAGAGAGACAAATTGATTGGTTGCCTCCCACACATATTCTGACTGGGGCAGGAGGATCAAACCTGCAACCCAGGTACATGTCCTTGACCAGGAATGGAGCTCTCGACCCTTAAGTGCTTGGGGCTGGTGCTCTAACCGCTTAGCACCCGGGCCAGGGCTTATTTCCCTATTATAAAGACGACAACTAAATAAATCTTATACTAAAAAATGTATCTTTTAAATAATCATATGCTCTAAAATTTATCTTTTATGATCACAATATAAATTCTGTTTTAAAATATTCTGTTTCAAATACAGCTCAGAATAGTCAGAATGTATTTTAAAACCTACTTTAAACTGATTTTGTAGATTAATTTCATATTAGGTATTATACACATGTAATGAGTTTTAAAATTTCACCAAAATTTCCAATTATAAGGATGCATTTTATTATGCTAAGAATTATAACCATATTTAATAACGGAGATGAACAAATTAAAATCCTCTTAGCTAAATTTCATTTATATCTATTTCACTTTTTTCTCTCCTGATCTCAGCATCTTGGTTGTACTTAAAAGCTCAAGACAGTATAAAGAACACTGTGAAAGTCATGTATGTCTAGTCATTTAAATAAAGCTGTAAAAAATTACATATGTTACTGCTTTTGAAAGTACTCAATTTCCTCCCTATAATTCCATAAGTAACATAGCTTTGATTGAAAAAATGTCAGGTTGCCCTGATTGGGTTGGAATATCCTCCAGTACACCAAAAAGGTTGAAGGTTTGATTCTCGATAAGGGTGTGTATAGGAGGCAACTGAATGATGTTTCTCTCTCATATCGATGTTTCTCCCCTCCCCGATCCCTTCCTCTCTATAAAAGTTACTAAAAACATATACTTAGGTGAAAATTAAAAAATAAAAATAAAAGCACGTTAGATTTACACATACACACACATATAAACATAATACATACATATATATATATAAACATACATACATACATATATATATATATGCACATAAACATATATATTTAACACTTGGCTTGTGTAAGACAGCAAAATATTAATGTACTAACCTCTAATGAAATTTTTCCAAACCAAGCAAAAAATGAACTGTAAACAGAACGGGCATATCCAGGAATATTCCTTATTAGAATAAAGGCTAAAATCTGAAATAAAAAACCACAAAGGTAAATAATCTTTTTGCTTTCCTTCAAGTCTTAATTTATTCTTTATATTCTTAAACTTGATACATACAAAACGCTCTCCCTCTAATTGATTAGCAAGTTATTTTTGTTCTAGAGTGTATACAAACTCGATTTTTTAAGCATGTGGTCTGATACTGCATACCAGTGCAGATACGAGGTAGTACATGGTTGAGTTTATTTTATGCTTATTAAAAAAAAAAATATGAGCCCACTCTGAGGCTCTTTGTGAAGAGGGAGATGATATATTTATGTGGCAAAATTTACAAAAGCTCATGATATAGTTTTGCTTCTTCCATAATAACCCTCTAGACACTCTCCCTGCAGCTCTTTGCTGGGCTACTCGTTTTTCAGGCCTTGGCTTAGACACTGTTTTCTCCGAGAACCTTGCTGTGACATCAAGATGGGTTAGGAAGAAATCCCATGGTTTCCAAAGCACCTAGTTAATCACCACACTACACACAATGTCCATGAATACCTGCCAGCAGAGGTGTCTGCAAACATGTAAATCTGATAGGAATTGTCTCTAGCCTCTACCTACCTCCCAGTCTCCAGCACACACTGACAAATGTGGTATATGCTCCTTCCCACCACAAGCCTGCCTTCCTGCTGCCTATGCCTTCCTCCCTCCAAATCAGCTGAGATTTCTCAGGGAAATCATCCCTGACCTACACTCCAACCCCAACTAGGTAATATCCCCTCATGATGGTCTATTATTGCATCATGTACTTCTCTTTATAATTATATGATTATTATCTGTAATGGAAGAATGTAGGCTTGATAAGGATATAAAGTATGTCTGATTTGGTAATCACTATATCCTTCACCATAATATCTAGTATATACTGGAATCAAATATTTGTTAAATGATTAAAAATTTGTTAAAAGCAAATACGATAAGTATAATTAACATTTCCTAAGTGCCTATTAAGTGACAAATACTGATCATTTCCATACATTTAAAAAACAACCCTTTAAAAAGAGATTTTAATATCCCTGTTACAATAAAAGAAACTAGAGCTTAGAAAGTTTAAGTGATAAACTACCTTTTAAATAGTTTGATCTCAAATATCTTTGCCGCTAAAGATGGTGTCCTTAACAAGAATTAAGAAACAATTTCTTCAAATCAAGATAATTACCTGTACCACAGAAACAGATGGGTGGAGCTCATTGCACTCGGCTTTGTTCTTACAACTGCTAGCCCAGATGGAATAGGTCTAAAACAAAACAAAAAAATACGCGAAGAGGTTCACAAACGCAGTTAGGCCTTAAAGAGGCAGCATTCTCAGGAAACGCTGACGTTTTCTTTATCACATTATGCTTCATATGTGAAGTAAAAGCTTCAGTAAAACTTCCCCCAGGTGTTCTCATCACTGGTTTGGTGTCTCCACTGCCCAGACACAGAGCTCAGAGAGGGGATTTGGTCTATGCTGTTCTGGGAACAGTGATTCCTAGGCAGTGGTGACTCTTCGTGTCAAACACCTTCCGTTATATTTCTTCCCAAATTTATTACAAATTTTAAAATTCCTATTTCTCTTAGCTTTCAGTTATTCTTCAATTTAACAGAATTTATGTTCAATTGGAAAACAAAAATAAAAAGAATTTTTAAATGTTTTATTTATTTATAGGTTCAATTCCTATCTCTTAAAGAAAATTTTGTATACCAATTAGGATGTTGGAAAATTAGAAGATTAAATTTTGAAACTTACCAAGAAAGAAACTACTGAAATAAACAATAGAACATTTGAAATTTTGTTTGAAAAAAGAGGTTCACCCTTTCCTTCAGAAAGTATTTGACGCTTCTGTAAAGTCAAATAAGTGAAAGCAAACAACATTCCATGAAAGACTACCTGAAAAGTAAAGAGAGAAAAATTTGTTTTAAATAGCTACTTTCCAATAAGTAGCAAAAAATGTGGTAAATTATAAAAATATGTATAAAAGTAATTAAGTTAAAAGCTTATTTTCAGAGTTTTTAGATCTTAAACTTCAAGAGTAAAACTTCAAGCAATGAGATAAAGCCTATGACTGCTACAAACTATCAGCAAAGGAAAAGCCAAATCTCTTGTAATGAGACAAACTGGCTCAAACTGAAGAAATAATGCAAGTGAAGAAATAATGAAAATATAAAAATGTTAATATAAAACTATTCTGAATGCATGATAATTTAATTGTACTCATCCAAGATAAAGCATCTTATATTGGTACTTCTTTCAATAGAATAAGGCACACAACAATAAAACTACCAAGTTCATATGTTCAAATAGGAGAATATGCACATAAGAGTGGAAAAAACATGGTGAATCAGAGATCTTTCTTTTTAAATAAAGACTTGATGTGAACTACCAACCATAGTAGACTGCTCTAGTGAGGAAGTTGAGAATTTAAAATTATTTAATGAAAAGACCTTTGCAAAGCTTTTATTAATAACTAGAGGCCCGGTGCATGAAATTTGTGCATGGGGGGTGGGGCGAGTGTCCTTCAGCCCAGCCTTCTCCAATCTGGGACTCCTCAGGGGATGACCGACTGCCTGTTTAGTGGGACTAAGTGGGCAGTTGGACATCCCTCTGATAATCCAGGCCTGCTGGTTCCCAACTGCTTGTCTGCCTGCCTTCCTGATTGCCCCTAACTGCTTCTGCCTGCCAGCCTGATAACTCCCTAACCACTCCCCTGACAGCCTAATTGATGCCTAACTGCTCCACTGCCAGCCTGTTTGCCCCTAAGTGCCCTCCCCTGTAGGCCTGGTCACTCCTAACTGCCCTTCCCTGAAGACCTGGTCCCTCCACTGCTCTCCCCTGCAGGCCTGGGTTTCTGCCAACTGCCCTTCCCTGCAGGTTTGGTCGCCCCCAACTTCCCTCCTCTGCCGGCTTGGTCACCCCTAACTGCCCTTCCCTGCAGGCTTGATCACCCTCCCAACTGCCCTCCCGTGCTGGCCATCTTGTGTCCACATAGGTGCAGCTATCTTGTGTGTTGGAGTGATGGTCAATCTGCATATGTCTCTTTTATTAGTTAGGACAGAGGCCTGGTGCATGGGTGGGGGCTAGCTGGTTTGCCCTGAAGTATGTCCCGGATCAGGGTGGGGGCTCCCTTGGGGCATGGGGCAGCCTAGGCGAGGGGCCTGTGGTGGTTTGCAGGCCAGCCACAGCCCTGGTGACCCAAGCGGAGGCCCTTGTATCTGGGTTTATTTATCTTCTACAATTGAAACTTTGTAGCCTGGAGCGGAGCCAAGCCTTCTTTCTGCTCACTCTGTGGCAGCCGCCATTTCTGTTGGGATTTATTTATCTTCTATAATTGAAATTTTATAGCCTTAAGTGGAGGCCTGGGCTGGCCAGGATGTGCAGAAAGCTTGGTTTCCTCCATTGCTGAGGGCAACCCTAGCCTCCTGCTCTTTACAGCTCTGTGACTGCTGCCATTTCTGTTTGGAGTTATGTATCTTCTATCATTGAAACTTTGTAGCCTTGAGTGGAGGCCTAGGCTGGCAAGGGCAGGTGGAAAGCTTGGCTTCCTCCATTGCCGGGGAAACCCAAGCCTCTCTCTGCTCCCTGTGGCCATAGCCATCTTGGTTGGGTTTATTTGCATACTCACTCCTGATTGGCTGGTGGGCATGGCTTGTGAGTGTAGCAGAGTGATGGTTAATTTGCATATTACTCTTTTATTAGATAGGATTAATACATGGTTTTGAAATGCAATGCAGTTTATTGGAAAATGCACAATAATGGGAACCAAGCAATGGGCCAGAAATAGGCACCAAGAAAACATTTGTTGAATGAAAAATGGGATAAGTGAAAGAAGGGAGGAAAAGGGGAAAGAGTAAATAAAGGGCATTTAATATTTATCCAGTGCCTATTATTTAACGAACACTGTGCTAGATGTTTTACATTTTGTTGGTCAACTGAATGAATCTTAACCATCCTTCAAGATTAAATTCATGAAATCACCCATGATAGCACTCTTTCTTCTTTCAAATTTCTACCTCTAATTTCATACTGCATACCTAATACCCAATTATAAGTAGTAATCTTGGATTTTAAACTAGATTTTAAGATTTAGGAGCCTAGAGGTATGTCTTCTTTCTCTAATATAGCCTTTATCACACCAACACTAGAGCATATAATGGGACTCAACACATATTGTGAATGGCTGAAGCATAAAAGTATATGATGGATCACCTGTAAGTCAAAATTATAACTCAAAGGCCACTTTATAGACATTTTTACTGTATTTTTCTGCTATATACATCCATACCCTTTCTCTGCTTTAAAAAAGTAGAGAAATAGGGCTGTTTTGACTTAACATATCAACATGTTTCCATATTCTAAAACTAAGTAAAAATTTTTAAAAATTCCAAATAATTTTTTAAGAGTACAATATGAAATGGTAAATACATACGTAACGGTCTAATCTCCATCTGAACCACCATTCATATACATTTCCTTTTAGTTCAAAACACTTAGACAATGGCCAAAGAGAAAAGATCTTCTCAAATGCACCCTGAAAAAAGGAATCCAGGAAATAAATTAAAATGGTACAAGTTAATACTTGTTTTGAAAATCATTATAAATACCAATTTTCTAAAGTTAGAATTATATAAGGATCACTCAGAGTTTTTAGGTTTTCTTTATTTAACTTAAAAATATCACTTCATTTGAAATTCATTTAAAAAGAAATCTATTTTACTGATGGCTAATAAAGATAACAAAACATTTTTGTTAATTTACTTTTACTGAGTATGAAAGGATACTGAGTCTGAAAATTTTGAAAAGAACAAGCTGGTATTTGGAAAATTATTCCATTTAAAAATTTAAATCTAGTACACAAAACAGCTAATATTTACTGATCAAAACACAAAAAATACAAAAAGCTTCAGCCAATATGCTATAAATAACCTAAGAAATGATGGTTAAGGTTAAAATATAGTTTTTCTTTCTCTAAATGTCCTTAATAATCTATAATTATCCATTTGAGTTCAAAGAATCCTCTGAATTAGTCACCTTAATCAACTGGCAAGTGCCATTACTAGTTTTTGAAACAAAGTTTACAATTTTACTTTAATGAAGTTAGTGAATTGTGCCCCTATATTAACCTGACAGCCTTGAAAATCTGAGAATGTAGAGGCAGAAGTCTTGGGTTCATTCCCGCACATTAATGAAGTTTTTCAAAGAAGGAACAAAAACCTCAATTTCCAGACTTAAGAATGACGACAAACTCTATTAAGGAAAACTCCATTATTAGACCTAATTCCACAGCATAAAAATGTCTAACATTACAATTTTTTAAAAGACTAATAAAAATTAAGAAAAATATGAAAACAGTATTGTATTTTAGGTAATGCTGAATGCTTACGTCAGAAAAACTTTATTATCTTAATAAAATGTAATAATCTCCTTTTAATGACAGATTTCAAAATGCTTATAGATTGTTAAAAATGGGTCCTATCTAAGCCTCAGTATATTTAGGATAGTTCTTAACAAAATTTTCAATATACTTATATATAAGTACTTATATATCATATATGCAAACTATATGAAATACAGAAATATGACTTAACAGGTATATAGCTATTAGTATGATCACATGTATCACATATATATATCTATAATGTACAACTTTATTTCTGATTAAAATTTTGTTTCTTATATGATCAACAAACAAGTATTTATGAGCATCCATTATGTGAAAGACACTGGGCTATTTTGGACTATGTACTTTTCTTCTTGTGCAGAGTAAACACTAATCCAGGGTAGGGGAAACCTTCTTAATTCCTCTATTGAACCTCTGGTCCACCTTCCTTTCTCTTCCTCAGATGTACCACGAGAATGTTGGGAATTTTAATGAATGACTATTAAGTAGTTGTTGTAATTACTTGGCTTATTTCTTTACACATTTGTTTATTATTTCATAGATCTTCTGCAAAAAAACCCTTAGAGGTGGAGCAGAAATATAAATGCTTTATTTCTAAGTATGAAAATAAGTATGAAAGCCTACAAAACAAACAAGCAAAAAACCAGCTTTATAGAAACACACACACACACCCCTTCTATGGCATTTGTACCTGATGCAACTGGGAGACAGGAGTAAGTTGTGCAGAATATGTCACAACTAGAGGCATTCAAATTAAAATATTTTGTTTATTGTGCTGCCTAAACGTTATGTCCGTGTCATGGACTGAGCAGCAGGTAGCAGTTTGCCACCCTGCTGAAGTAGCTGAGAGAAAATGACCAAACTTTTAATAAAATTAAATATACTACATATGTACAAATCTCGTTGCTCCTAAGCTGGTTTTACTAACTGCCAAAATTTTATTCTGCAGTTATGGAAAAATCAAGTAACATTTCGATGCAATGAATAATGCACAAATCAAGTTGCAAATTCTGTCAAGAGAATTTTGATCTCCACTTAGAGTAGTGTCTTAAAAAGGCATTCAATAAACGTTTGATTGATCAAGTAAAATGGGTTCTGAACAACTGCCAGAGGAAGAGCTTTAAATTGCTCTTACAACAAAACAGGGGTAACAAAAGTGGGTCTCAAAAGATCTACATTGAGTAGTCAACTATGGAGTGACACTTTTATTACAGTCATTAAAAAAATGAAGCTAAAGAAAAGCTCTGAGTCTTCTCACATACTTTAATAGATTTGAACTCTAAAATAAAATAAAACAAAATATAAACTAAAGGCTATACAAACCTGAGAATATGCCAAAAAACATATACATAACAGCAAGAAGGCTAGTTTCAACAGTAAACCAAAATGCCAGAAACAACTTCCTAAGAGAGAAAATATTTAATTTATTAAAAGTTGTTAATTTACATAAGAAAACATTCAATACTATTTAATGTATTAAAACGTTGCATAGTTCTTAACAACTTAAGGCTTCTTATAAGTTACAAAAAATACATCTAAGCAATGTAACTTACAAGTAGGACAAAAAGGAAAAAAGGTAGAGGGTCCTTGCTAGGAATGAGGCCACAACATATATCTGATACCCTATATATTCACTATTAATCCACTATAAATATATTTAAAAACAACTCCTGAATTCAGTTGTACCTGTTCATTATTGAAAGTTACAACAAAATTTGGAACAATATGTTCAATGTAATTTTAATAATCATGTTGAATCCAACCCAAGACTGCTTAAATATTCAATTTCTAAAGAGAAAGCTTAAGAACTCTCTAATGGTCTAGGATTTAACCATAAAATATATTTTAACATATACATGTTTTAAGTTATATGCTCCCAGTTTATACACATTGATTATTCATTTGATTAATATTTTGAGTTTATGTCAAGCTGTTAAACCACAGAGGCTGTCAAAAGACACTAATGGACTTTACGAAAGGCTGGAACTCAACTCTTTCCCTGAAAAATCATTTGGTATTAAAATGAAAGGCAACGGAAAATATTTTTGATATACAATACTGGGTTAAGTTAAATACATTATCAAACATTTTAAAATTATTTTTCCATAAAGGAAAAGTATTTTAATTATATGATCTTAAGGAGGAGGGGAAGCATTAAGTTAATGACTGTGGCCTCACTTTGAACATTACAAGTTACTGGCTATGTGAAATTTGAAGATGACAACCTTTTGGACACTTAGGTTTCCTTATATGAAAAACAAGTTGACAATAACTGCTTAAAGATAAATTATATTAATGCTTTTTAAAATTGTTTGTCATAGAAAGGCTTTTTTGCAAATGAATGTTTATTAAAAATCTCAATATATATAAGAAATCAAATAAAGCAGAGTTGTCAAGAATGAAGCAGGATATAAGGGGCAAAGAGCCCTATTTAGCTTTCCTTTCTCTCTCATAGCTCTCTCCATTCTGGCTCTGTACTGTTGGAAACTGTTGCGTTAGTTAATAGATAAAATGGCTTTGAAAATTTAAATTTAAAAAAGACATAATATAGATAAAAACTATTATTCTATACTATTAATATTATTTCAACTAATTATCTGCACCATTTTAGAAACAGTTTTTAAGAACAAACTTTCAAAATGTCAATACTACACATAAATTTTAATTGTTTCATGTCTCAATAAATAGCCTTTAGCAACTAAAAAGAAATTTAGTACATGAACATATTTATTAACATAAGTAAGAGAGTATATTTACCGTTTGCTTTTTTTTGGATTATTTGAGGCCACAGTGCCAAAGTAACATATATTACCATGAACCATACTGTGACCAAGGGGACAAAGTAATAGAATTGATAAGGCCGATCCATTACTATACATAACACCACTACCAGGAAATTGAGACGAAATAAGACCTGTTAAAGAAGGGAAGAAAATGGTTTCATTCCAGGTAATTCATGAACAGCAAAGACAGATTTCTGACAAAGTATAAATGTTTGACACTAGAATAACAAATGTACAAGCATATTTTACTAATCCCTAAAATTATATTTGTTTTACAGTCATTGTAAAGAGTTCAATATAAAATATTTATGCATCATTATATTAACTAAATCCCAGCAAAGCACAAGCCTGTGGTGTCCTCTGGCTGCAACTGCCATCGTGTTAAATGTTAGGGGGGAAAAATCATAAATCTCATCTTAGAGCTCATTTATAAGTGGAGATTAGATTACCTCAAGAAAAAGTATCCATTTCATCTCTATTTGATGTTGATTTACCCCATTTGGGATTAAATTGAGAGTTGTCATAGATACAAAATGATATTACTCAAATTAAAAAGTATCTTTGGGACTTATATAACAGTCATTTCAGACAGTGTGATGTCATTCAAAGAACAAAGAATTTGAGAGGTTGATATCAGAGCTGCACCACTTACTATGTTACCACTGGCAAATTATTTAACCTCTCTGAGCCTCAGTGTCCTTGTCTGTACATGAGAAGATTGCAACTCAGGTTTGTAATGAAAGATAAGTAAAGTAATGTTCAGAAATTTCCTAGAATAAGGTAGAAACTTAATAAATATTAATCCTCTTCTTAGAGAGAAAAAAGGCATAGACTATAATAATAATTCCAGGTAACTGTACATTTCTACAAAACTAAAGTAAATCAGCAATGTTTTCCCTTGTGTACCAGTGCTTCTATTATACATACATCTAAATTATATTTTCCCTTCCCTCAGTAATAAATTATTTATCTCTTAATTATTAACCATAGAACACAGAAATAACACAATTTTAAATGCCATTTCAAAACTCAAATTATTCATGGTCTTATAATGACAATATTTATATTTTACCAACAGACAGGCACAAAAGCATGTTGAACTGAAGAAAAAAAAAATAACCGAATACATTCCTACCTGACATACTCTATGGATTCCAAAGTCTCCCTTGATCCAAAAATATGAGAAATGCCCATAGCCCGTCTGAAATAGATATGCAGCAACCAGAACCCGAACGTGCATGTACACAGGCAAAAACTGTTGACAGAAACAGATATGTAAAATATATGTTGGCACTAACTACACCTTGAATTTCCATAATCAGCACTTTTAACCAAGATAATGGATCACAGTTATCATTTGGTATTTGAAATGAAAAGATTTATTCTCAATGAAAAGATTTATTCTCAAAAGTTAGGCATTATAGCAAGAGTTAAAAAATGTAGACTTTAGAATCAGATAGACCTAGAGTCAAATTCTGGTTCTGCCACTTACTAGTTATACAACTTAAGTCTGAGTCTTCTAAACTGCAAAGTGTTTTTGTGAGGAATGCATAATTAATATAAAAGCACTTTGCATATTTCTTCCAGTTAGAACTAAATATATGATATCAAATTATGAATCACCACTGTAGATTTCACATTTTTCCAATGTTAAAAAAAATTCCTACATTTTTGGCCCTGTTAAATATGTAGACTTTAGACTTGTAAATAAAATGGTCACATGACTACTTATAATATTAAGCAAAGCATACATATTTAAAAATATATACAAGCATATTTAGAAATATTATTTCCCTCCACTCTTATTTTATGGAATTTTATTTTACAGGCCCATATAAACTGTTTCATTATGACTAAGATGCTCAGAATTACTTGGCATGGGTTTCCAGAGTATCCCATCTTCACTTTGAGGTTGAATAAAAATACCATATTTCTAATCTATATTTTAGGGTGTTGCTGGAAATATGATCTCATTTACAAAGTCCTGATTCTTATAACCTTAAAACACTATCATTCCACTTACTAGTATTCATTAACCATTGGTCCTTTAGATGCATATTTATGATCTCTACAATAGAACTAATACACAGTTTTTAAAAAAATTACCTTTTCAAGGCTTGTTCAATGACTCTATAGACAACTACCAAATTTAGCACTCTAGGGCAGTGCTGTGCAATAGAAATAAAAGTGAGCCACACAGCCCTAGCTGGTTTGCTCAGTGGAGAGAGCATTGGCCTGCGGATCAAAGAGTTCCGGGTTCGATTCTGGTCAAGGGCATGCACGTTGGTTGCAAGCTTGACCCCCAACAGGGGGCATGCAAGAGGCAGCCAATCAATGATTTTCTCTTATCATTGATGTTCTTGTCTCTCTCTACCTCTTCCTTCCTTCTCTCTGAGATCAATAAAAATCTATTTTAAAAAAGTGAGCCACAGAGTAAATTTTTAATGTGGCCACCAGAACATTTTTAAAAAATTAAAAGAAACAAGTGAAACTAATATTAATCAGTATATTTTATTTTTTACACAATATATCTAAAATATTATCATTCCAAGATGTAATTAGATATTTTACATTATTTTCATACTGAGTTTTTGAAGTTAGCATGCATTTATCATAATTAGTCAAACTTATGGCCAGCAGGGGAGCGAAGTTGGGAGGGACTAGGTCTGCAAGGGAGGGCAGTTGGGGGCAATCAAGCCTGCAGAGGAGAGCAGTTAGGGGTGACCAGGCTGGCAGAGGAGAAAAGTTAGGAGTGGCCAGGCCTGTAGCAAAGTACAGTTAAGGGCAATCAAGCTGGCAGGGGAGCAGTTAGGCATCAATTAGGCTGTCAGGGGAGTGGTTAGGGAGTTATCAGGCTGGCAGGCAATCAGGAAGGCAAGCAGGCAAGCAGTTGGGAGCCAGCAGGCCTGGATTGTGAGAGGGATGTCCGACTGACCCCTTAGGCCCGATCCTAGGGGTCAGTCGGACATCCCTTGAGGGTGGGCTGAGGGACACAACCCCCATGCACAAATTTCGTGCACTGGGCCTCCAGTGTGTGTGTGTGTGTGTGTGTGTGTGTGTGTGTGTGTGTGTGTGTGTGTATATATATATATATATATATATATATATATATATACATACATACATACATACATACACAGCCTAAGCACCATTACAACCAGTCAACCAAACAACTAGTAGCTATATGCACATTGACCAAAAGGGGCTGCTTCCTGGTGGTCAGTGCACTCCCACAGCCAACCTTTTATGGTCCCTCCCCCTGACTTAGCTGAGCTGGGCGAGGTGGCCCTGATCAGCCCTGATACCTGACCAGGCCGAGGTATCCCACCCATGCACAAATTCATGCACCGGGCCTCTAGTTTTAATATTAAACATGGCGTTACTAAAATTTTATAATTTTACTCAAAATAAAAAATATTAAGATTAGGTAATTAAAATCATTATGGCAGTTAAAAGGAGTTTTTAATTAAGTGGATATCTTAAATATCCAAGAATCAAGACCCCAAATATGTTACAACCCACATTAATAGTGTTTTGCTGGTGTAGATATAGGTAATTTCTAACTGCAAAAGGCTATAGTTTAAAGCACAGGGGTATATTAATTAATCATAACAAGTTATCTGTTAATGAAAAGTATATCCTTCCAGAACAAGGATTTTTTATTTTATTTTAATTGTCATTTAGGATGTACTGGAATGTAGTCTAAGAAGTATTAGAAGGCTAGCTTGGCAAATGATTATAACAGAATGCCAAATTGCCTGCATCCATTTATGATCCAAGTCCTTTCTGGAATCACTAAATTGAGGAACTTAATCTGCCATTAATTTTGTTTTGTTTTGTCTTTTTTTTTTACACTATTATCACCTTTTAATATGTCAGCAATTAATTATGTCCCTAAGTCGCATTTTCTTAAAACCCCTTTTCCCCCCTCAAATTAATTTAATCTTTATTCATGTCAGAGATATTTTTAAGATTCAATATGCATCTCCAATTACATTTTTATAGAATTTGCCAAATTCATCCTATAAATTCTGAACTGGGCTTATAAACTAAGTTTAACTATCCTTGTCTCTTCTTGCTCACGTTTCTGACCATCCTGGCTTTCCCATAGCTGCATGATTTCAATTGGTCCCTTCAGCTGCAAGGTCACAGGAATTTCATTGCTGCCACAAATAAACTATCAGAGTCACATAACTTCAACAAAAATAATACTTCATTCATCTGCCTTTTATTCTTCAAACAAACCATCCATGAAATAACCAATTTTGAAAAATATAATAGACTTTATGAAGAATAACATTATTTTCAAAATGTTAGAGATATCTGAAAACCCCCAGTATTATTTACCTTAACTACTATGAAATATTTATAATACTCCTTCCTGAGCAACAGTTTCCTATCATCTTAATTTATCATTGATTCAAATACTATTTAAAGAAGTGTACTTTATATAAACAACACAATTAGAAAAACAATTCAGTAGTTCCCAAATTTTGAATGTTTCTTAAATTTTTAAAACGTATTTTAGAGAAGTCAGTTTGTATCTTCAGTATAAACTTATGTGAAAAGTGACAGACACCTAGGTTTACCCTCAAAAGTTTGTTTTAACTGTAATGTAGCTAAAGTGTTATAACTGATATTTTTTTTTCTATCCTTGCCAAAACCAATATGTCGCCAGACCACAAGAATCCTCAGGAGAGGGGAAAAATGATTTTGTCCAGGTAGAGGAGTGAGCAAAGGAAGAGTCCCCATCTCACGGGGACAGTAATATTTAGGAAATATGGCATATCTGACATGGTCTACAATGGAGGTCCATTAGGACTTGAGCTCTGAACACCGAGGCAAGAATTTCCAGTTTTTTAAACTTTAAAAGTGTAAAAATAGTTGGTCAAACTTCCTAAAATACAGTGAAGGGTAGACTATAAAATATTAGCATCTAATTTGATTATCTTTGATAGTCACTTGCCTACTCCAAATCTTTTACAATTAAGTGTCATCTACAAAGAGTTGTGATTACTTTAAATTAGTTGTTCAATAGGATGACATGAAATAATGCCCTTAGATTATCAGCTGCTTCTACTGCATTAAAATTAGGGCCAAGAAAATACAAATAAATTATTGCCCTCTTTTTTTAGAACTGATTCTGCTTTTAAAACTACACATCCTCAAAGTCAAGTGGTATGAGAAGAAAGGGAAGGCAGAAAGATTGAGTTGAAAATAAATGGCATGCCCTTAAAAAAAACATAGTGATATTATTTCCTACTAGCGGGCCAGTGCACGAAATTTGTTCATGGGTGGGGTCCCTAGGTCTGGCTGGCTATCAGGACCTTTTGGCTGCTGGCTGGGGCCTTCCTTCATTCTGCGCCGACTCTTGGTGTTCAGCATACATTATAGAGAGTGATTGAACTCCTCCCAGTCTCCCAGTTGAACTCCGAAGGGACACTGTGCTTTTTAGATAGAAGGTATTTTCTGAATTTCAATATACTTACAGTACTTGCTCCAGAGATATGATAAATCAAAATCACAAGTTGCATCCAGCCTTTCCATTCATCTGTTTGTTCTCTATTTAATACTTTAGTCTGTGAAAAGAACCAAAATCTGTTTCAAAATTCACCATGAAACTATTATTTGGACAATTTATACTAAGTATGTTAAAATTATTCTTATAGGATATAAATGATGCTTTTGTTAAAAGAATTTTTGAGGGGGGGAGTTAAAAATAGTCATTTTATTTCTTGATAAAAGATATAATATTAATTTGAGAACTAATATGAACTAACAGATTTTAAATAGCATTTAAGTTGATACCTATGGTTTTATATTAAGAGTACATTTAAACTATGACAATGGTTTATAAATCTAAAAAAAAAAAGGCATTTTCTAATTTTAAGAAATTAAGATTTCAGTTAAAAAAGATCTTACAGTTCTCTTATACTTTATTGTAAAAAAAAAAAAAAAAAAAAAAAGAATATTTCCTTAGAATATTCTCACCAGAGATGAAGAACCGATTAATCATTCTCATGAGTTATTCTTACAATAGAATTTATTAATTAAAATAAGTCATATCTTATAATGGAATTATACTAACATTCTGAGCAACTATAGAAATGCTAAAATAGGAACTTCAGGTATTATAAACATTTGCCCACATTATGTAAGTTCTAATTTGTGTGTACATGTCTGATAAAATACTATAAAATGTTTGTGCATATAGGCATTAATAAAATTATGTATTTTTGCTCTATAGAAGACAGTGATGTATTATGTTCAAAGACCATTATAAAATTGGAAATCACTGCACTTTCTTCATCCCCATGAATGCAAAATAATACAAAACCATGACATCTTTTTCACAGGTTATTATTTTCAACTTTCTAACAATCTTCACGAAACTCTTCGAACTTCCTCCAAAATGTTTAAAAAAAGTTAAGTATAACCACAACATTCATTTATCCTCTCTAATATACATGCTTGTATATTTTGGCATGATAAATGATATTATTTTTTAAATCTAAAGTTTATAATGAAATAAGGATAAAAAGAAAAGAATTCTTACCTCTTTAGTATTTTCATTGTAAAATACTCCCAAAACCAAGATATAGATAATTGGAATAAAAAAAGTTGAATGTGTATAAAATTTGTTTTCCTTCATAAATAGATCTGCACGGTCACACATATAGAAATAAGCCATAATCAGGCCAAGTTTGCACAAAGATTGTAAAAGTATTTCTAATGGAGACATGGGGGTATTGATAATATTTTTCTTTTCCTCTCCACTTTCCAAATCAGTACATGGCTTATTCTTCCGATGAGCATTACGATGAATTATATAAAAAACTAAATATCCAACAATAGATAAGGTGAAAAAACAAGCAGCTAGCTTCTGCATGAGAGTCAGAGGAGGCCGAGGCTGACAACAGGAACCATCTACAGGCTTCAGTATCTTATTGCAATACACGTTCATAAGAATCATTGCACTCTGTGAACAAATCAAGTTATTTGGTTATTATCCTGTCAGTAATATATTTCACATTAGATTTTCTCCTGTGAATACTATTGATTTTTCAGCACTGAAACCAAAATGCCTTTGTACTTTTTACTACCATTTCCCAACCACTCATGCAAATAATGCTATTCCTTCAATCTGTAATAGCTAGTCCAGGACTTTTCAAACTTCTTGGGCTATGATCTGTAATGAAAAATTCATTTTTATAATGTGACCCAGACACATATATGGGAAACAATACCTACCCTTACTACTTATAATGCACTCTTACATTTTTGTGTTATTTTTTTTTTAATGGAAAAAAAAAAACAACTAATTTCATGGGTGCTAATGGGCTGTGGCCTTTACAATAGTGTGTTGAAGGCCTGGGGTGGGCTAGAAGGGGCAATGGGGGAAAAGGGACATATGTAATACTTCCAAAAATAAAGATTAAAAAAAACGACTAATGTCAAAGATCAAAGAATTTTAATTATCAGCCTTTCACTATAGAAGATACCAGAACACTTAAGATAGAGTTCTAGTTTTTAGATGTAAAAAAAAAAAAAAAGTAAAATAACTCATTATTTTAATTCTTAGCAAATAATATTTATAATATGCCTTTCATTTGATTACAGTTAATGGACCACTTAGGATTTAGTTTTAAGATTTCTAATGTTAAATAAAGATTCCTAATGTGGCATCTTGAACATGGTTGCATTATAATAAAAATATTCTAGGCAAGCTATCAAGATTCTGTCTAGTTGAAGGTTCAGTCAAATCTAGTTTTTAAAAAACTTTATAGTTTAGATATCATCGGAACTCTAAGATGATTATATTATTTAAACCTAAACATTCAAAATACTCAACTATGCAGGAAATCTCACCCTTTTAGCCCTAGGGTGAGATTTCCTGCATAGTTGGAAAGAGTACTAGGTTCTGTGCCTAGTACTCTTGCAGATACTAGCCTACGAACTCCATCCCCAAGTTCTTAACCAGTTCCAGGGGGTTCAAAACCCCCTTAAAATATGTACACAAACATGCATTTTTCTGCAGGAGAGGAAAGTAAACTGTTGCTTTTTACTGAACACTCAAAGAGGTTATGTGATCCTCAAAAAGGTTAAGGATCACTGCTTTATAAGAAAACAATAACTAAATATCTGTTGTACTATGTATAAAAATTCATAATTATCAGTTCTCTTTCATATTGAACTTAGCAACCTTTTACATCTGCCAAGCTGGATTTTCTTCAGAGTTTACTATGTACATTGAATAGTCTTTAGGGCATCAAAGGAAATCTGATTTATTTATAAGAAAATAAAACTATTCTACATATTAAAAATGTATTCTTCATAGAGGCTTAATCTTGTTAGTTTAAGGCAGGACCACAAAGCTGTATTTTTCAAACATGAGTTTTCTGTGAACTTATAAGCTTCTTGAAGCTTATAAGAGTGACTAGCACTGAATAAATGAAGTTTTATTTCCTCCTTTCCATAGCTTCTTTCCCTTTCAAAGTACACAAAAACTCTCACTTTATACACAGCTAGGTGATGAAGTAAAAATTATTTCTAGATGTTTAGAAATAACTACAAATAATTGAGACTCAATAAAATTATTTATTACCATATATAGTGACATATAGTTACTATACAATTAGATATTATAGTCTCTTTCTGACAGATACAAGAATTCTTACAGTTTCTCTGCTTGATTCTGGAAGATGTAAGCCATCCAAAGATTCCATGATAGTTTCTTGAGCAATTAATTTGGAAACACTGAACATCTTAACATGTGATTTAGAATTTCTGGTGCTACTATTCAAAACACTGACTGCAGCTTCATTGTAAGCATCTATCTTCTCGTTAGTGATCATTTTCCTATTTTCACTTAATAGATCTTCATAAACAGGATCTGCACATGAAACACATTATTATATACACAAATGTTGGGAATATAGGACAAGTATGAGCAAATGAAATTAAACCACCTTCTTATACCATACATAGAATAAACTCAAAATGGATCAAATACTTAAATGATAAACTTAAAACCATAAAAATCCTAGAAGAAAACATAGGCAGGAAAAATCTCAGACATTCTCATAACAGTATTTTTTTCTAATGTATGGCCTTAGGCAAGGGAAACAAAAGAAAAAAAAAAACACATGGGACTACATCAAACTAAAAAGTTTCTGCACAGTAAAGGAAACCATCAAACAAATGAAAGACAAAACACTTCATGGGAGAACATATTTGCAATGATATATCAGATAACGGTTTAATATCCAAAATTTATAAAAAGTTAAATTTAACACCAAACAAATAAACAACACAATTAAAAATAGGCAAGGAACATGAATAGACACTTCTCTAGAAGACTTACAGATGGCTAGTAGACATATGAAAAGATGCTCAACATCACTAATCATCAGAGAAATGCAAGTTAAAACTGAAATGAGGTACCACCTCACACCAGTCAGAATGGCTATCAATAAATCAACAAACAATAAGTGCTGGCAAGGATGTACAGAAAGGGAACCCTTGTGCAGTGTTGTTGGGAATGCAGATTGGGGCAGCCACTGAGGAAAGCAGTATAAAGTTACCTGAAAAACTTAAAAATGGAACTGCCTTATGACCCAGTGGTTCTACTTCTGGGAATTTATCTGAATAAACCCGAGACATTAATTCAAAAGAATATAGGCACCCCTAAATTCATAGCAGCATTGTTTACAATAGCCAAGATTTGAAAGCAGCCCAATTATTCATCAGTAGATGAGAGGATAAAAAAAACTGTGGTACATTTACACAACAGAATGCTACTTGGCTGTAACAAAAGAAATCTTACCCTTTGCAACAATAGGGATGGACCTGGAGAGCATTATGGTAAGTGAAATAAGCCGGTCAGAGAAAGACAAGTACTATATGATTTCACTCAGATGTGGGAATCTCATGAACAAAATGAACTAACAAGCAAGAGAGCAGGCTGACAGGTGTCAGGGAGGGAGGTACTGGGGACTGGAAGGATTGAGCAAAAAAGAAAAAGGAAAAAAAAGTCATGGCCACAGACAACAATGTGGTGAATGCTGGGGGAAAGGGTAGTGGGGAGTGGAAGAGAGTGTAGGGGGGATAAATAAATGGTGACGGAGGAGACTTGACTGGGGATGGTGAATATACAATAAGAGTGTACAGATGATGTGCTATAGAATTGTGCTCCTGAAACCTGTATAATTTTGTTAACCAGTGTCATCCCAATAAATTCAATAAAAAAGAAAAAAAAAACACACACACACACTAAAAAAATTCTTGTAGAAATTGTGATCATGCAAGTTAGTTGATTGTATTTCATATTTTGTTGTTTAAGTTCAGAGGATTCCAGGCATCTAGTAATTTATTTTAAAGTAAAGCTGGCTAAGATTTGCAATAGACTTATCTTACATTCAATTTTTAAATTAATCAGTCAATATCTTTCTCATTTTATGTTTTGGAATGTCTTAGAGGAGTTTAAAATTTTGGAATACTGGGTTATACTGGGTAATGGGAATTTAAAACTGGATTGCAGAAAAGTGCCTAATGAAAAATAGCACCCAGTCTTTTATTTCTTCTGTCACTGCTTAATTTATAAATTTTGTTCACACAATTAAGAGGTTATATTATTGAAGATCAGGTCTCATAAATAATTTAAATTTAACTTTTTCTCATTTTGGTGAGGGAAAGGTTAGCAATGAGTCTGTAAATAAAGATTGTGAAACAGATGATCACCAGCCCTTTTATTTTTTTCAGCTTGACATTCAACTTGGAAATAATTGTAAGAGTTTCTGACAAACAACTTGAATTGCTAAAAAACCCAAGGCATTTCATATTGTGCTAGGCATTAAATAATGGACATTCAATAAACTCCTGAAATGAGTTGATCTAATGTCAATTTTTTCTAAAAGAATTTCATTACCAAGCATAACCTAGATGGTATGAATTTAAATACATTCTGTCAATTCCAAAGAGTATTTACTTACAATGACTCAATATTATGAAACAGAGTTAGTAAATTTTTTCTTATATTTCCCAATCACAGTAAATATACTTTGTAAGAAGTAAAAAATCAGAGGTAAACTTCTCATTTACCTTTAGAATGTATTCTCTTTGTTACATTAACAGCCATTCTGCCTACTGTGGCTCCTTGGGGCGTATTTTTACTTATTTATTATTTATTTTTTTACTTCTATTTATTAGTCTGTCTGTTCCTTAAGTTCAAAAGAGGAAAGCAAATAACTCAAGTTTATTCTGATTTTGCAAACCTTATTTCAAACTTTATTCTCATAAAGCAATAATTTTGCTTCTCGAAATAGGAGATAATAAAAACCCATGACTCAAAATATATATAAAATGACATTTTTTCATTACTCATCTCTTACCTTGTAAGACCCAATAAACATCACTAGTCTTTGCCAATTTTTCTAGAAGTGGTGCTATGGAGGTAATGTTCATTTTATATTGAGACAGTGCTTCGTTGCTGCCATTGTGAATCTTGATAGACCACTAAAATGAAGTAAAAAGTAAGCATTAATTCATTACTTATCACTGAAAAATTAAAGTATATAATTTGCTCTATTGTAACAAAGGTTATCATTTTAAGATAATTTCCATTTTTATTCAATATCAGAATAAATTATGGTCACATTATTTCATGAAATATATGAAGGAAGTTAGAAAAAGCAGACATAAAATTAGAGTTTCAATGTATAACATTCAAGAAGAACATCATTTTAGATATAAAATAATATTGACATTTAACACTAAATTTTCTAAGTTCATCCATATCTTTTAATTAAAATTCACCAGTCTTATTAATTAGAATAGAAATAGGAATTAAAATATAAGTACAATCAAGAATTCTATTTAATATAAGTTAACTTTTTCTTAGCATGTCCTTAAGTATGAAATGAAAATCATTGTATAAGAACATAGATAATAACTTACTGTGGCAGCTCCTGCTATAATCACATGGGGCTTTGCAACAGAATCCTAAAGAAAGAAAAAAAAATCTTTATAATAGTACTATACTTAGTTCAGAGAATTAATAAAACATCATTTAATTCTTTTCCTTAAATTTAAGTTCTTCTTTCTTCTAAATGCATTTTAATTTTCTAGAGTTTCTTCCTGAATTCTTGTTATAACAAGATTAAAGGCCTGGTGCACCTGTGCACTCTCACAGTCCATCACAGTCTAGGCTCTCGCAGTGTGGGAGCCCTGGCTCCTTACTGCTTGCCTGCAGCAGAGGCGGGAGAGGCTCTTGCCACTGCCACTGTGCTCATCAGCTGTGAGCCTGGCTTCTGGCTGACCGGCACTCCCTCTGTGGGAGTGCACTGACCACCAGGGGTAGCTCCTGCCTTGAGCATCTGCCCCCTGGTGGTCTGTGCATATCATAGCAACAGGTCGTTCCTGCCGTTTGGTCAATTTGCATATTAGGGTTTTATTATATAGGATGGATAACCAATGCCTTTTATGCAGGATGGCACGAGGCTTTTATAGATAATTCTTTGGTGTTCCTTACAAAAAGAACAAAATCGTTACTGCAAATTAATCATCACTCTGCTACACAAGACACGCCCACCAACCAATCAGGGCGAGTATACAAATTAACCCAACTAAGATGGTGGTTAATTTGCATATCAAGACAGCATAGAAAGAAGCCAAGCCTGCAGAAGGGAGTGAAACTTCGGAGAAGCAAGCTGGGCAGAGGAGAAGGGAGGAAAACAGGAGGGGCTGGGCAGGGAGAAGGGAGGAAAGCACATGGGGCAGTGACCACAACAGGAAGCCCTATTGCAGGAATCTTCAATAGTATCTAATATGGCCTAATATTATTCTGAATAGTGAGTAAATTGCTTAAGAGTAAATCTCTAGTATATTATGCCAGCCAATTAAAAAATATTCATGAAATACAGTTTAAATCTTAAGTAAAATAAGATCAGTGTCCTAAAGAAACAATATTTTGGGGAAGCCAAATCCAATAAATATTTAACAAAATAAACTGATAATTATTATAGACCACAATGTGGGGGAGGGGGGAGAAACTGGGTAGAAATCTTCATCAAATGCAAATTGTACTCTTAATGAAACTACCAATTATGTAGTACTTTCTTTTAAATTAGTTCTTTTTAATTAGTTCTTTTTAATATAGATTCTTACTACCTGTGAGATAATGCAGGAAGATATTATACAGATCTTATAAAACAAGGGTACTGACTCAGAAAGGTTTATTAGGGTACTGCTGAAGCTTGGCAGGACAAAGCCAGAACTTAAGTCTTTTGATTCTGAGTTCAAGGCACTTTCCAAATATAAAAGATTGATATTATAACCATGTGCACAAGAAACAATTGAAAATAAGAAATTAGAAAAACATCTGACCCAAATATAAAAATGAGTTAGGGCTCAATAAAAAGGTAATACACATACTTACATAGAAACTATGAAAGCAGAGAAAAAAATAACAAAACTAACCTATTTCCCTTCAGAGATATTTTTGTTTCTCGTCTAGCATCCTTAACCAACCTTGCTGAGTAAGTGCCTTTGTTTTACAAGATATGTGTAACATCTCCCAGCCTACCTCACTGGTGGCAAGAATCTATATTACATTGTGCTATCTTAGAGAAATGAACATACAGTGTTATTTTACTGGAACTTTTCCCTCATCCTTTACCCCTTTCATTCCTTTTCTCATTGTTCACAATGGTAATCCCAAATCTTATTCACCTTATACAGGCCCCTCTTATCCTCTCATTTTCCAAATAAAGTCAAATTCTCAAATTTAGAAGAGAAAAGAAGACTTCAGCTAGCTGTATGTTCTTGCCTTCCTCCATCTTACAACTTCATCCATACACTCACGCAGCCTATCTTCCTCTGATAAGAGAGTAAAGAAAATATGTCCAATTCCTTCTAATGGCTAACCTTTATTCTGTGTCCATATCCCCTTCCTTTTTCCTTCTGGGGCTGTATCCATGCATTATTTCCTTTAACTCTCCTCTTATAAATTCCATCCCCCTTTCTCCACGTTTCTGCCTTCTCTCAATCTCACAGTGTTCAATTATCACTCTCAGAAAAGATTTTTCCTTCAACCTTATCACATTCTCAAATTCTTCCCCCTCACATCCTTAACCATAAAATTACTTGAAAGAGAATTATGCCTTCACCATGCCTATTTTTCTCTCTCTCATTTATGACTTAATTTATCATGTTTTGATTTGGGGCTTCACCATCCATTAAAACTGCCCTCAAAGTCCATTAATGAACTTAGGATTGCCAAGTCCTAAAGTGACACCACTGACTAGCCACTTCTTAAAACTCTTTCCTATATTACATGACAGTTATTCTTTTCCCGCTTTTCCTTACCCCTTTCACTCCCCCTTCTCAGAATCTTTTGTATAGTTCTGTTCTTAAACTCTTTGTTAATTTCTAAATTCTCTACTATTAAATTTCTTCCATTCAAGTAACTTCAAATAACACCCCACTCTAGAGCAAAACTCCCCAAATCGACCTAATTAGCTCAGACTTCTTACTGACTACCATTCACCTATAGAATTCAATTTAAATTGCTGGTTTCTTCACAATTTATTCTAATTTCCCACGGCTACCCTACTATATTTCCATGCCTGCCTTTATATCTAACTCACCTCTGAACATTATGAGCCAAAACATTTTAGGCTTTACTTTTAGGTCACAAATGTAATGATAAAAGGGAAGAAAATAGGCTATTACAAAAAGTTTTTTTTGACATATTTGGGCATGAGTTTAAAAGAAAAAGTGGAAAAACACTCACAGGGATGTTCATTGTGATAAAAAGATTACCGGGATTTGAATTAACTGAGCTACAGCAGTTATCACCTTAGGGTTAGAATGGCGATAGAAGAGATACTATTAATAGATCAAAAATACTTTCTTTCTCAGTTGAGTAAGAGAAGCAATCCAGCACAGCTTAGTTGCTATCAAGAAGGCTGTATAAAGTGCAGAAGAGTGGGACAGCTGAATAAGGAGAGAAAACAATGGATGCTCATGAACTTCAAAAATTTGGTTGTGCAAGCTGATTGATGTTGAGCCCTCACATCCATTCTTCTCTCTCTCTCTCTCCTTTCTTTATAAACTATTCTTTTAAAAATAAAAAAATAAAATGTTGTTCAGAACTAAAAAGAGCTGCATTTTCAAATACAGACCTCAGTCCACACTTTGATACACTGCTTCATAGAACCATTAACTTCCGGATGCCACAGAAAATCCTAAGAGAAATGTAAGAAAAGAGAAACTTAAAGAAATGTTATATACACCATTCAAAATAACAATTAATATATCTCTTACAAAGTATTTAAAAGTAAAACACCACCTCGTTGGCTTAAGAAGTACCAAATAGTCACAGATATAAATACAGCATATGAAACATAGGCAATAATATTGTAATAATTATGTATACTGTTAGGTGGGTATTGGGAATATTGGGAGAACAAAATGTAAAGTATATGATTGTCTAGCCACTATGTTGTATACCTGAAATCAACCCAAAATAATCTTGACTATAAACTATAATAGAAAAAACAATAATTACTAAAAACCTCTTAAAATAAATGTACCATAAGACAAAGTTCAAAAACTAAAGCCAAATGAACTTTATTTAAAAGATATTTACAACACATATAATTTATTTTCTATTAAATCTATCTTGAGCTACAAAAACAAAAACAGAAAAAACAAAACAAAAAAACAAAACACCACCTTGTCTATGACATCATCATCTCCCATCTCAATTTGGCAAAAGTTTCACAAGATTTCCTTGTATTCACTGTTACTTTTCTCTAAACTATTTTCCATATTTTAGTGAGAGTAATCTTTTGAAAATTTTAAATCTGATCTTGCCCCATTCCTGCTTAAATCCTCCAGGAATTTCAATTGGCTTGAGAATAAATTTAAGTCCTTAAAGTAGGTAAGAAAATACAAAATCTGGCCTCTGCCTACACATTGTGCCTTTTCTCCTGCCACCATCCCCCTGGTTCTGCACGCCCTTTCAGTTCTCAGTCAGCTCCTGGAATGCTCACTGAATTTCTCCAGGCACATACTGTTCCTTCTGCCTAAAAGGTGCATAAACTCTTCCACTGAGTTCGACGTGCTCTTACTAATCTTTGAGGCCTTAGTTAAAACATCACTTCCTCAAATAGAAAAACTACTTTTAACTTCTTGCTTTCTACATTATTAATGTCCCATTTTTTCCTTTTTGCCACCCTTATCCCATATTTATTTATATGTAAAGAATTATAATGATTTGCAAGTCTAGGATGCTGTATTCTTAATCTTCATTATATTCTCAATATCTAGGAGTCATGTGACTGGGAATTCAGAAAATTCACATATATTCTTTGATGGATATTAATCTTGAACACATACTAATTTCAAATTAATGTACAAGATTATTTTTTTCCTGGATAAAAATCCGAGAGACCAAATTTTCTATTTTATTACACAAAATAATACACATAAACATTTACTCAATTATGCTATCTACTCTCAATAGAATGAAATATATTTAGTATGTACAAAGTATTAGCTGCTATAAATAAATTAACCAATGAATATAGTTTTGACATTATAAGATTTAGCTTACTATTATATGAACTTACCACTTTAACTGATGCAATCTTGTCTTCAAAAGGAATGTTTTCATGCTGCCATGAAAAAAAGGAGACAACAGAGCAATACTAATGTAGAAATTTTATGTAAATAATCCTCCCTTTAGCTGTTTTTGTTTACTAACTTATGCATCACATCTCAATTCTCTATATTCATCCTGAAGTGGAAAAGATCTCATAGAATAACAGAAAAGTAAGTGACACTAAATTGTTTATGTGTGCTTTTCCACATCAAAGATGTAGTTCAAAGATAAAACTTCAACTACAAACAAGCAACATGTATATGAACATGCTTATATAAATTATTTTTTTTGCCAAGCTTGCCATAATTCCAATTTAGTCCTAGTATTATCTATGCCAGAGACAGTCAGGTAGTGAGGGAAGCTGTGTATATACCAGGATTCTAACCAGCGACCTCTTAGTACATGGATGACACCCATGAAACTAAGTCATACTAGCCAGGACACTGTATTTCTATTCTTAAGTAAGTTCTTAAAAAGTCCTTCAGCTAAATAGAGCATGTAAGTAATTTTCATTTATTTGCAATAATAAAAAATTAAGATTCATCCACTATGGAAATATTAGATATTAGATTTGGTTTAGTTTTTTCCTTATACATCCTAATTCTATCCTTTTAATCCTTGTCCTTAATGTTTTACTATGTATCTTTAAATGAAGTTCTACCATAAGATAATACCTTAAAAAGAGGACATTAGAATACTTAGCTTGTTATATCTCCCTCTGGCTTACAAGCAATTATTGGCCAGTTCTTTAGTACTTTCTTTTTATAGACATTATTATTTTATATAGGTACTATTTGAATAGGCTTACACGCATGTTTACTCTTTTTTTTTTTTTTTTTTAGTGCTGTTTCTTATATTTCACATCACTTAAAAAAAAAATATTTCCATCCTCCCGGAAGTTTATCCTTTAGAAAATTTTTGGACAAACCCTCAGTTTTTATGTATCTGATAATGTCCTATAGTTCAACAACGGATAAATCTGTATGGTAGGTATATAATTCCACACTGAAACTTATTTTCTCTCAGAATATTAAAGCTATTATTCTACTGTTCCCTGGCTTCCAATATTAATACTGAGAAATATGTTGGCCCAAAACTTAAGTGTTCTGCATAGTGGGCATGGCAGCTACTGCCATCTGTCTTCAGGGCAATCCAAGTCTCTACTGAGTGCCTACTATTATAGTTCCCATCTCTGGTTCTGCCTCATAGGTGTTCCTTTGTGGGGAATGTCTTCCATTTCTTCAAATCTAGAAATACACCACCAGTGGGTTTTTTTTTTGTTTTTTTTTTTGTTTGTTTGTTTTAATCTAAGATTTAGTTGGTTTGAGGTGGAAGGGGCCCCCAGTATCTAGCTGCAAGCTGGAAGCAATGCAAATAGTTTTCTTTATGACTTCTCAAGTTTTTAATATCCTCACCTAAATTAAAACCATTTGAGAGGGGAATATGATACCCAACTCTGTCCAAACTCATTTGACCAGAGCGCCTTAAAGAACTAATCTTCCACAAAATATAATTTGATAAAAGTCCTGCTCTAAAGCTTCATTTAAAAAATGTATTTTTCTCAACACAGAAAAGAAACATATTCAAAGAATTATCTTCAACAATCCTATTCTACACAAACCCATACCAAAGCTAAAATGATGATGATGATGATAATCAGCTTTTATAATATGCCAGGATGTGTTAGGCACAAGAACTTTAAAAAATAATGATTTCTGTCTTCAAGTTGTTCAGAGACAAGAGAACTAAGTGAAATGCAATTTGGCAAATGCTCCACTAGCAGTTTGAACTAAATAGTTTCTTAATAGTTGTCTCTTTAAGACTGTGACAAACTGTCTTTGTTTCTTTTTTTTTAAAAATGCATATAAATTTAAATATATCTTGCTTGAGAATTGTGAAATAACAATGTACCTCTAGAAAATAAAAATTGGAAACCTAGGTGTTATAACTGGGGCTCAGAAGAAATGTACTTTTGGCTATCCAGCAGCTGCCAACAGTGGTCCACAGACCACTGGTGGTCCTTGAGGTCAGCAAGGTTGGTAACTGCTGGTTTAAGGAAACCTTTGGAGCAGTGATTGCCAACCGGTGGTCACTAAGCCATCTGAGCATTTTTCAATTAACTGTTGCCAAATCCATTATTCCAGTTTTCAGAAAGCCACAATATACTGTCTAGAAATATTAAAACTGTTTCTCTGAAATCAGAATTCTACTTTTAAAAAAATTTTTTTATTGATTTCAGAGAGGAGGGGAAGGGAGATAGAAACATCAATGATGAGAGAGAATCATGGATTAGTTGCCTCCTGCAAGCCCCCTACTGGGGATTGAGTCAGTAACCCTGACCAGGAATCAAATCCTGACCTCCTGGTTCATGGGTTGGCCCTCAATCACTGAACCACACTGGTCAAGCGAAATCTCTCTACTTTTTATAAGTTTACCAAAGTGTTTTAGTTTAAACTGTGATAATCTCATGGCATTAAATAGTTTCAATTCTTCTGTATAATTCTGTGTGTATAAATACAAAAGGAGGCTACATTTATAGATAGCAAATAAAAGGAAAAGTTGACTTTATGATTTTCTGTTATTCAGCTTTAAAATCTCTACTAGTCTTTTTTGATAGACAAAACCTCTAATAGCCTAAGGCTTCTTCTCACAATAAATTGTTCCTAAAATTTAGTATCCACTACCATCATCACTATGTGTCTAGCTACTTGTGAAGTCTTAATTGTGAAGTCCCTAATTTTTCAACTCCTTACCACAGGGCAAGTAGATATATATCGACAGATTTTCATCATAATGTTTTCACATAAAGATTTTATTTAAAAAGTCATTTTTTAAAATTGCAAAAAAATAGAAAACTACAAAAAAGTTTAAAAAAGGGAGGATTATATAAATATGCATTATATCCACTCAATAATTTGTTCACACTATTAAGATACTTACATTGATTATATAATAATATGAATTATGACAAGTGGTGGGGAAAGAAGCGAGATATAAAACTGTACATGCTAAAAGATTACAATTATGTTTTAAAAAAGAGACTGAATCTTAGAGGGAAGGTGGGGGTGGGTGGGATGAGATCAGCCAAATAACTTGTCTGCATTATGTACATAACCCATGGACACAGGTAATAGTGTGATGAAGTCCTGGGTGGGGGCTGTAAGGCCTAGAAGTAGTCAATGGGGAACAAAAAGGGACAAATATAATACTTCCAACAATAAAGACGTGGGTTTAAAAAAAAAAAGAGATGGAAAGAAATATGGCAAATATTAAAAGGAGAAAATGGTTATTTTCTTTGTTTTCCTTCTAAGAAATTTAAAAAAATTTTTTCCATGGAAAGAATTTATTTCTGAAAATTAAACATTTAAGTTAATGGAAGGCTTGCCAATACCTATCACTTCTTTTTCTTATGCTGTCCATTATAGCAAATCATCCTTTCTTTTTCCTTTACCTTTCCAAAACCAAAGTAAAGCTTTTAAGGTTCCTTGCATTAACCTTAAAAGCTTTACTTTGGAGAGGCACATTCCTCCTAAAATTATTCAGTTAGTTAACTTCTAACACAATACTCTAATGAAGAGAACAATTTTTACCTTATTGCCTTCTTCTTTGAACTGAGGATTAATTATTTTTACAAATGAATAAAACAATTGGCGTATTCTGGAATCTCCAATAAATGCAATATGTTTATCTACAAGGCAGTTCTTTGCTTCACTGAAATCAACAAAGAAACATTAATTAAAATAAATAAAGTCAGCTTATTGGCACTTCAAAGCACACAGTTTATGAAGAAAGTAGTACAGGATTGTTATACATATAATTACTACTTGGCTTTTAAAATAGGTGGCCGTGTTTGTTTAACCTACCAGTTCCTGTATGATCAACTAACTCTCAATAATAACAGCCCCAATTTATTAAGCATTTAAGATGAACTCTAACCATATTAAGCATTTTATATCCATTATTTCAGAATAAGTCTATGCGGTAGCTATCCAACTCCCAAACCAAGTCCTTTACTCAAGGGCCTGCTTATCTCTCACCTGAGATAGAGCAGCTTGGCTATAAAAGCTCTTTGTTGGGGAGGAATCTTCATTTGGACTCACTTCCACTCCTACCTTCCTTCAGCAATTCTTACCATCATATATAGAAGTACCATATAGTACTTTCTTTGTTTCATCAATCCTTGTCCATTAGATATTATAACCCATCATAGGAAATACAAGCAACAAAATGGAGAAATCTTACTTGTTTTTGTATTTATGCATCATACAACTGTGAGGTTGCCAAACTTTCTCTCCAAGAAATCTGCCACTTGAAAGAAGGTACTCACACGAGTCATTGCCTATGAAACACAACAGTGTTGGAAACAATAGTTACATTTTTATATGTTGGTTATCTGACCCCATGTAAGCTCTTTGAGATGAGAAACTACATGTCTTTATGCTTCGCTATACCTTCTAGGTACATATTACTTATCTACAGAAATATAATACATATTGAGACTCCTTAACTCCTAAATGCTACATTCACTGCTTTGGCAGTTCCCTCTGCTTCAGGTTTTCTTTGTGGGAACATCATCTCAGTCATAAACAGCCTGTGTATCCGTTTATCACTCCTTCTTCTAATAGGGAAAGAAAGGTTTAAGAAATAAAAGAGAAGACTTTGGAAATGACTTTCTACTACTCAACTATTATAACACATTGTGCATTAGCATATTTGGAAACCTACTACTTAATACTGAGACATTTTATCAATCTACTCTGATTTTCACAACTTCCCAATGAGTATTCTACCCCTTTCTGTAAATGTGTGAACAGAGGAAGAGACTTATTCAGGAACCTCTTAAAAAGCTTACTAAAACGTCATCCTTTTACAGTCTTACAAAGATAAGACTTAAAACTGGCCACATCAGTATCAGTAACACCGTGCAGACTTAACAGTTACTAACATTCAGCTTCTCTACTTCTCTTGATATCTTTTGCCTTCCTTTAGGATAACCAAACAACTCCTCCCAGTATGGTTTGGACTGTGAGTTTTATACAGAAAGTTCCACAACTGGGCAATCCTCAGTCCTCTGTAAGCTGGGACAGGCAGTACTCTTCTTCCTTTGGCCACTTTACTGTACATTAGCTTAAATGAGCGAAGGAGTTAGTAAGGGGGTTGGAGGCATTTAAAAAGTTCAAATATGTCAAATGGATGAGGGGGAAAAAGATGTTTAGATTAAATGTGGGGTTCTAATAAAATATATGTATGACTTAATTTAATTTTGAGTTCTTTATTAATAGTCAACAGCACACTCCGTTTTACAAATAGGTAAGGTCAGGACAAAACATCTGATAAGAGGAATATTACAGAACAAGAATTGTACTGAACCATTCAGACTGGAGATAAGAAAGACCCAAAGATATTTAAAAAAGAACACATCTTTTTTCTCTCAATCCAGTTACCTATTTATCTGGCCAACATGTAGATAAAAAGAAATACAAATGCAAGATAGATATATAAATAATGAAAGTGTTGCCAATTCAGTGTCATAAATTTTAAAATAGAACAGGAAGGAAAAGTTAAAATACTGCACTACTATGTCAATAACACTAGAAAAGGAAAGCAGAATATCAATTATTAAATTTTTGCAATTATATATGTAGTCTGTGCAGGTTTTCTGTATTTCAAAGATTTTTTAATAACACCTCTTTAAGGAAACTATAATCAGTTCTTAATTCTTTCCAATTATTAAAAACAAGTTATAGTTCCAAAAAACAAAATTAAATATAAAACAAAATTAAGTATATAAATAATCCAGGAGTAAAGAAAGGACTTTAGGAACACACAATTATTTTCCTAAAAATAGCATTCTTTTATAATAGTCATATAGAAAAATCATATTAAATGTTTAAAATTAGGATGAAAATTCCATATTTATAGCATTTCTACCTCTTCAAATACATCTATTAAACCAAGTAAGATGTTAGCAACACACTTAATTTCTTAGAAAATTATAAGAAGTTGCAAATAACTAGGTATTAATTCTGTGGGGTTTTTCTTTCTTCCTCCTTTTTATAAAGTTGTTATTTGGTTTTGATTTTTTAATAGAAGCCTAAACAGAAATACAGCTTGATCAATATTCTCTATATGGAATTATGTTATTTGTTAATCATCAATATGATTTTCTGAAGATAGATTTACCATAACCAGTCTTTTCCTACACCAGAAATTGTGTTTTAAAATGTTAAGTTCCTGGTTTCCTCTTCAAAACTACTACTCACACATTCAGTTCAGTTAATAGGAAACAATGGCTCTAATTTGATGAACCCATATCAGAAAAGCTCTACAGAAAACAAAGTGAAGTTGTTACTAAACAAAAAGCACTGTAAACTCAGAATTTTGAGACTACTGGTCTTTCCAGAGAAGTTCTTTCTTTTATAAAAATATGTTTTTACTGGTTTCAGAGAGGAAGGGAGAGGGAGAAAGAGATAGAAACATCAACAATGAGAATCACTGATTGTCTGCCTCCTGCATGCTCTCCACTGGGGATGGGGCCAGCAACCTGGGCAAGTGCCCTGACCTCCTGATTCATAGGTTGGTCCTCAACCACTGAGCCACACTGGTCCAGTAGGGAAGAAATTCTTAGTTTGTTAATGAATGCTAGTTGATGATGACTCTTCTTATAATATTTTATGATGCAAAGTTTTTTTTACAAGCCTGTATCTGAACTTAATAGTCTCTGCATATAAGTTAAGGTCTGTCGAAGACAGAAATTATATAAGCTGCATTGATAGATAATGTAATGTAACATGAAGAATTGTTAGAAAAGTAAAAGAACTGCTAACTAGACAAGTGAAAAGATGAGACTGCTTTTTATATTTGTCAGCAGAATAAATTAACCTGTTCTAGAAAGGAAAACTTTACAAAATTCCATACTGTAAAAGTGCTTTTTCTGGGGAAAAAAACTTTCGGGATCAAATCAGTAAATCTAAATATAGATATAAAATAAGTTAATTTGACTTTTTAAATCACACGCGCGCGCGCACACACACACACACACACACACACACACACACAGGTGGCATATTTTCCTTTCAAAATTTACCCAGAAAAATCCCAAACAAAAGAACACAACAAAACCAGTCATTATTTTCAATTGCCTCATATAATTCTGATAGCTACTTTATAATACAACAAGTGTGAGATGAAAGTTGCTCAGATAAATCAAGCTACACAAATATACACACCCACACACACCAACACAGAGCAACTAAAGGGACAGAATTATCTACTTCAGCTATCTCTAATACTAAGATTATCTTCTTGAATGGTTGTCTCACTCTTCATTCTGTTATCTTAAGCATAAGCATTCTGGTTTGTCAATCTCAAATTGCAGGTTTTTATGCACAATTTTTCTATAATAGAAAGACACTAAAAGCAAGCAAAGTAAGTAACAAGACAAACATGTTTTGAAAAAGCTGAAAAGCAATACGTAACTCCTGAAGAAAACATCTGTTGTGCTAAATAAAGCATAGTTGATACTTTCTTTTGAATAGAATACCTCTGGCACACTGCATACTATTTAGAGGAGTCACCTACCAAAGCTGTGTTTCTTAGCACTAACCATGTAAATCCCAGATCATAAAGTTTACAGTATGATCTGTAGTATACTTTGTTTGCCTAAAATTCAGCAAGTTATATTTTAGTTTGTGCTGAAAAATCACCATTTACATTTTTCTTTAGATAAGCTAGGAGAGCCTCAGTACAAGTGGTGTCATAGAGATCAGGGTTTTCCTAGCAGTCAAGGGAAGAAAAGGTTAAGAGACTGAGGCTACTTCTTTCTTGCTTTAATTTCTGAAGCCTTGAGCTTACTTTTCTCCAAAACATGTGCGATCTAATATTTGCATTTAGTATGCCTATTGATAGAAGGAATTCAGATTTCAACAAAATTAAAGCATTTGCAGCAAGCTAACTTTATCAATTAAAATACTGAACGATATCCAGATTGGAACTACTCTTAGAGCAATAGATACTGGCCTTTTGTCACCGAAACATTATTTGGAATTTGTAACTATAATATTAATGGACATTTTGTGATCCAGTAATATTAGAGTTTGATAACATTTTGAAAAAAATATAGTTAAAAGTTTAATTATTTTAAAAATGTCATTCTAGTATATTATGTAATAGTAATATTAATAATGCAAAAAAAACCCCACCCTACTTTCTAAAATTGAAATCAGAACATGAAATTCAATTAAAAGCAGAAGAACCAAATGCAAGGAAAAAATAGTAGGAAAAAAGACCCTAAAAATCTAATGATCTCATATTTATGAAGTTAAGCTCTGTGTGTTAAGTTTTGATGATTTAAAAGATAAACAAAACACTCATGGAAGCTCAAGGATGTTTTGTGTGGGGGAAGACAGATAAAAATTATTATAATACAACATGGTAAGATGTACTAATTGCTGTAAAAACATTGAACTCCTAATTCTGCCCTCTGTAGTGGTGACATTTGAACCAGGCCTTGAAGGAAAAATCTGTTCTTTCTTTGCAGGAGAAAAAGACCATCGAAGTCACAGAAAATAAAATATTTGTGAGATACATGAAAGGGTAAAGCATGTGTAGACTGTGAGCCTGGAGTTTAGGAAGAAGAAAACAGGTAATAAAAAGTAGGCTGGTCAGATTTTGAAGTTCTACATATGCAACTTTTAAAAAGTCACTTTACTGGAAAAAGAATAGGAAGTTTCTTGCTGGTGCTGTACAGGCTGCTTTAATATTTTTAAATGTTTAGTCCATGTCCCTCTGGAAATGCTTTCCCATTCCATCTGCTATCACCACAGTGTAAGAAGCGGCAGGAAGGCAGACTAGAGCATAATGGCTTGAGGCTAACTGACTGGTTCTAACTCCTACCTCAGTCACTAAGGGAATGTCCTTAGGCAACTTAACCTCTCATGACTCATCTTTAAAATGTAAATAATACCTCAACTTGCAACTTGAAGAATCCAAGAACATTGATTATAAGACACATTATTATTTTATGTAACAGTAGGAAAATTTTATCAATTAAACTTTGACATGCAATCAAAGATTTAAAAGTCATCCTGATTATAGAAACGTTACAGATGGGGCAGAGGAGGAGGATCAAAGGTGGTAAATTGCATCTTCCTCACAGAATGCTTATAAATACAAAATGAATTAAAACGTGTAAAACCTGTTGGAACAGCACGTTGTGTTTACCAAGCTTTACTTTGTGCAGCGTGTAATTCCTCTACTTTCTGTTTATAAATAAAGCAAGAGATACTAAATATGTGTCTTCCTTCTACTGCATCCACTCTCCCTTGCCTGAAGCAAACTCATACCCACACATTGGCCTAAACCTCTATCTCTAATATAAGGTCCTTTTTTATTCTAGAGACTTATGATATTGTGATTCAAGCGCATAGTTATCTTTGTGTAGAGGGAACTGCACTTGACTCAATTTTACACTGCCAAAGCATAAGGATGGCTAAAAAGTTCCTGGTAAGATTATTTTTCCCAAACAGAGTCTGGCTCAAGTTCCTGACATTCAGTTTGGGCAAGTACACACACCAGGTGTCCCGCTTCACACTCAAGGAACTGAAGCACCTAGGGAAGCTGGTGACGAGCTTCTGGATGAGGCTTTATAAACAACCCCAGATTGCTACACTGACTCATAAATTCCATCTGACATTCTATTTCCCCTGCTGATGACAGACCCCGAAAAGGATGCAATAATCTAAATATAATCATTGGTATCCAAGCTTATCAAAAGATGCACAATGAAAAACTGGAGGGTGGGGCGGGGGGGAGAGAGTGGGAAGACAGATTCTTTTTCCTTTCAGGAACACAGCACCAAAGTTACACATCATTGAGTTCGATTACTGTCATCTTATACCAAAGCAGCATGTGATTAACAGCAGTTAGAAAGTTTTCTTCCAAAGTACCACAGATTCATGCATCAAGATTGCCAGTTTTACTGTTGCACGTGCTCTGTTACAGCCATTTCAGGTGCACGGAAGCCCTCCCAGGTCATATGGCTCTGATCGACAGGAGACTGGAGGAGAAAGGCCAAAAGGGTATAACAATTTTTTTTTAATCTTTTAAAATCAATTTAGTGCGTTTATGCAAACAGCGACCCATCTGTATAGCACTGGAATCTAAGGTTTTGAATCCTCAAGCATTTAGAGAAAACAAAGCAGCAAAATGGACCAAAACATTCTGCCCTTGGGAAGACTTCCCGGGATGAGAAGAGCTCAGATTCCAGAACCCCACTTGGTGGACGTCTTGCCAGAGCGGGTGCGAAATTAAATGGCAAGAGCGTTCCATGCCCACCTGTCTATTGCACAGTGCGTCTTGACCAGTTTTATCTCACAGCCACCCAGAGCTGCCCTGATAACGGTTCCCATAATACGAAGAGCCCCAAAGAAGAGATCCCATCATTATTAATTTCCCTCGGCCTGCCAGTCTCTCTCCTAGTGGCATTTTGAGAAAGAGAGAGAAAGCAAACACACACACCCACACACCCAGAAGGACAAAGTCAGCATCCCTTGATGACTGCAAGGTCACTCCTTCTGAAGCAAGGAGGTGGCTGCCTTGACAATCATGTAAGCACCCACCGGCCTCCAAGCTCACCCTCACTTGCCCCCCTGGCCGTTCAAAACTGCCCCGGGCCCATGTGCCCCGGGCAGCGCCTGGACTCCAGGGAGAAAAGTGTGCAACCACAACAGAGCCCCGTGCACGTGTCTTAGTGGCACCTCCTCCACTTGGCCGGGCATCGGGGCCAGCTGTCGCGCCCGGGGGGCCCAGGACCAGGGGGCGGCCCCCGTCGCTGTCCAACAAACAACACAGCTCGGCCCGCAGGCGGTTCGGGGGGCAGAGGCCGCCTGAACAAAAGGCTGGAGAGCCGGACCCCCAGCCAGGAGCGCGGCGGCCCCACTGCAGGCGGAGGGGCCCTGGCAGGCGGCCTCTGCCCCCCGGAACCCCGGGCTGGGCGCCCCGGCCGCCTGCCCGCGCCCCCCGGGCGGGCGGGAGGCGCGTCCCCTCGGGCTCCCCCGTGGGCGCCGGTACCCCCGCAGCCCTGCCGGCCCGAGGAGGCGCCCCGACCCCAGCGCGGGCGGCCGGGGGAGCCGAACCGCGGGGCCTCACCCCCGGGCGGCCCGGCCGGGGTCCCCGTCGGCCGGGACACCCGGGGGCACGCGGGGCCGCGCCTCCCCGGGCCGGGCCGGGCGCGGGCGGGCGGGCGGCCGCGGAGCGTGGGCGTGTGTCGGCGCGGGGGGCGGCCTCGGCGCCGCCGCCGCCTCCTCCCCCGGCCGGGCAGGGGGAGGGCCCCTCACCTCGGTAGCGGCGGGAGGCGAGGTGGCACCCCGCGAGCAGCAGCACGGCCGCCAGCGCCAGCACCTTGGCGCTCCTCACGCTGAAGTAGTGGTTGATCTCCCGCTTGCCCAGGGTGTAGGCCAGAGCCGCCATCTTGGTTCCTCCATGACAACAGCGCGCGGCGGAGCGGGGAAGGGGCGCCGCGCAGGGGCCGCGCTGGGGCTGCCGCGGCCGCCGCAGCCAGGCCAGCAGCCGCCGCCCGGCCCCGCGGCCGCCCCCCGCGCCGCCCGCCGGCCCGCCCGGCCCCGCGGCCGCCGCGACCCCGGCCTCCGGCCCCTCCTCGGCCCCGGCCCCGGCCGCCGCCTCGGCCGCCTCCCCCCAGCCCCGTCTCCGCTGCTCCGCCGTGCCGGTAGCCCAGGCGCCCCGGACGCCTGTCTCCTCCCCTTCCTCCTGCGCCTCCCTTTTAGCCTCCTGCCTTAATAGCGGCTGCGTCTCCTCCGAGGGGGGTCCGGATGCCTGGGGCTCCGGGGTCAGGGGCCCCCGACGGCCCTCCGGGGTCACCGGGTCACGGGCTGCGGCGGCGGCCGGCGGCGGCGGCGGCGGCACAGACATGGGGGGAGGGAGGGGGGACGGGGCCCGACGGGGCCGGAAGGCGCGCTCCGCAGCTGCCCCTGGCTCCCCGGCTCCCCGGCCGCCCGCCACCTGAGCCCAGGTTGGGGCACTAGAAACACAGTTCCGGAAGAAAAGGACACACCGCACACCGTCCCACTTCCTCCTGGCACCGGGGCACCCGCTGTCCCGGGCCGTTCTGCCCCCGAGCCCGCCCCGACGCCACCACCTGGGCCGCCAGGGCGCCCGCCCTGCAGCCCCCAGATGCTGGCCTCGGGTGGAGGCCTGGGGTGCGACCAGTCTCCACTCTCAAGTCACACAGCCTGGGCCCGTTTCTCCTGTAACTTTTAATTTATTTTTATTTTTATTTTTTTTATTTGAAGGTCTGTTTGGCCCACTTCCAGGGGGCGAAGATCAGCCAGCCAGCGTGCAGAGGGAGCCTAGCGCGGAGCCTCCCTCTTTATTGGCACAGGGTGGATGTGCCAGCCACGGGGTGTGTGTGCATGGGGCGGCCATCCTCGCTGCCACAGGTGGTTCATGGTTTGTGGTTCTGCATAAAGAGAAGCAAACCTTGCCAAAACCGAAACCGGTTTGGCTCAGTGGATAGAACCTCGGTCTGCGGACTGAAAGGTCCCGGGTTCGATTCCGGTCAAGGGCATGTATCTTGGTGGCAGGCACAACCCCGGTGGGGGGTGTCCAGGAGGCAGCTGATCAATGCTTCTAGCTCTCTGTCCCTCTCTCTTCCTCTCCGTAAAAAATCAATAAAACATGTTGAGAGAGAGAGAGAGAAGCTTCCCTTGGCCCTGTTCCACCACTGTTTTCTGTCCTTTGCCCTCCTTTCATCCTATCCTGTTTTTCTTCTTGGTGTGGCCTGTGCAGCCTTCCAGGCGGGCATGCTTTCTGACATCGCTTCCCTTTTTCCTCGCCTGGTGTAGCATGGGCCCTTGGTCAGTGGGGGTGTCTTCAAGGATTCTTGGCCCTCAACTTTCCCACATAGCCGTTACTGAACTGGTGTTCATAGGCCCCTCTTAAAATCATGGAGCGTTAGATATGAAGGGACAATAGAAATCTCGTCACCCCAAGCCTTTTCAGTCCAAGGACTCTTTTTTTTTTTTATTATGTTTTCATCCAAGGACCCCATATCTTGAAAGATTTTGTCACTTAAATGAAATCACATACATCACTGTCGTGGATGCAATGCTAATAAAGCAATAAAGTTAAAATAAGTGTACAAACACTAAGGCTCTGTTCCCTGCAAGTGCTCAGCTTAATTTTGGCTGTCACTCTTCTAATCCAAGGGTAATCACATGCTGAGGAATTAAATCAGATATTGCTAAACTCAGATAAATAACTCCGCTAACAATATACGGTCTGCCAGTCACATTCCCAGAAATTGCTATGATGTCATCAACAGCAAATTAGAATTTCTGATAAATGTGTGATAACCAGTGTTAACCCTACAAGAGTTGATGGAACATCTGCCAAAAGTAAAGAAACTTGACATTTTGTTTAATGGCAATTTCCAGAAGGCTTTCTGAAATATTGTAAATAGCGGGTGGACCTCCCCCTTCCCTCTGCCTCTGCTCTGAAGCTCTTCCTGTCCCCCTTTGTGGGAGGTGTTGGTGATTCCATCAGTCATCCCTGTCAATTATCTCCTCTTGGTCTCTTAAAAGCTCTCCCTTGCTCCTGGCTGCTTCCTTTGCACCAATTAGTTTTCTCTTTTTAGTGAAACACATCCATAAACTCTGTGTTTCTGTGTGTTTCTGTGTGTTTACCTCTGCATCTCTCTTTCCTTCTCTGACAAGTATCTAGAAAGAATATTGTTGAGTTTGTGGTATCTACTTGCTCCCACTCCCATTCCCCCTTCCACATAACTCTCAAATATGCTGCCTCTTCTCATCCGCTTGCTGCTGTTGCCTCGGGCAAGTCATGTTTTCTTGCCTGACTTTCTTATAATTGCAACTCATCTTCCTCATGTCTTCCTCAGTAAGTCATCTTCCTCTTACTGCCTCTCTGACATTCTTCTGATCAGACTGAACTTCCTTCAGCTAAAATGTGGATGATGCTAAAAACTAGTTAGTGGCTCCACATTTATTTGTCTGCCCTTACATGGTACAGAATGTTTACTAATGCTCAGCAGGTTACCTCACCTCCCAGGGGTCTGATAAAAGAGAAGCCATCTGATAGGAACACTTTCCACCTATTTTCTCAATGTGCATTATTTCAAAAAACAAAAATAAAAAAATCAAACCCCTTTCCCCCAAAAAAACAAAACAACAACAAAAGAAACACAACCAAAAAACCCTGTCACACTTTATCTTCCTTTTATTTATTTGTAAGCCACATATTTATTTCCCATTGTACTACAGGAAGCCATGGGGATAGGGTGGGACAGGATAAGGACACTGAAATAGAGCAGTCAGTTCAATAAGAGGAGCGCAGTTTTGAAGTGAGAATCTTTTGGAACAAACAGTTCCTGCTATACTGTGATCATTTATTGCTGTTTATACCAATGTGATTTTGTTTAACCAAGTATAACTGATAACATTAGTTTCAGATGTATAATACAATGATTTTTTAAAAACAATGAGTCCAATTAATATAGTTAATATATTCATTATCATACAGTTAGATTTTTTTCTTATGATTAGAAGTTTTTTTTATTTAATATAGTTTATTGATATTTTACAGAGAGGAGGAAGGGAGAGAGATAGAGAGCTAGAAACGTCGATGAGAGAGAAACATCGACCAGCTGCCTCTTGCACACTCCCCACCGGGGATGTGCCCGCAACCAATGAACATGCCTTTGACCGGAATCGAACCTGGGACCTTTCAGTCCACAGACTGACGCTCCACCACTGAGCCAAACCGGTTTCGGCTGATTAGAAGTTTTTAAATCTACTCTCTTAGCAACTTTTAAAAGTGCGATACATGCCACAGCTGGCTCTTAAAAGAAAACTCTCTCATCGACGTTTCTAGCTCTCTAACTCTCTCCCTTCCTCTCTGTAAAAAATCAATAAAATAAAATTTTTAAAAAAAAGCAATACAGTATTATTAGCTAGTTCCCTCTGACTTGAAAAATTTCTCTTCCCTCTTCCCAAGCTATCTCTTTCATCTGTGTCCTTGACTATACCAATACTATTCATTTGAGAATCTGGTCTCTTAAGATTCCTTTATTCCTCTTCACTGTATGTATGTGTATATTCAAATGCTTCCCAGGTAAAGAACCTTCCTTAATTCACTACATTCTCTTCTCCTTAACCATCAAACTTCTGGAGGTTCAGTCTATGATTACTCTTCCTACTTTTTCCGACTACTTATTGGTTCTTTAAACACTTGAAAATTGACTTCTGCTCCTATTATTTTATTTAAAGCACTCTTTCAAATCTCTGCCAAAACCCGAGTGACAACATCCAATGTCTTTATCTTAGCTTTATCTTTCCTGACTACGTAGCATAGTTGAAATATTTGCTATCTTAAAATCTTCTCTTTGTGGCTTCCATGCTACTGCACCCTTCTGGCTCTCTTCTGCCCTTTCCCAGGCATGAAGAAGAGCTCTCTTCCTTTTTCAAACCTCCTATTATCAGTGGTGAGCAAACTCATTAGCCAACAGAGCCAAATATCAACAGTACAATGATTGAAATTTCTTTTAAGAGCCAATTTTTTTTAAAAACTTAAACTTTTTTTTGAGAGCTAATTTTTTTTTTTTAAAAACTAAACTTCTAACACCACTTCTTCAAAATAGACTCACCCAGGCTGTGGTACTTTGTGGAAGAGACACACTCAAGGGGCCAAATAGCTGCATGTGGCTTCCGAGCCACAGTTTGCTGACCACGGCCCTATTTGAAAGTGATTGGCCTCAATTATCCAAGCATGTAACCTGGGTTCCTCTCATTTGCTCCAGAATTCTCTCACATAGGGACAGCTTTGTTGTGTATCTCATAATACCTCAGACTCAGTGTGTTGGAAATTAATTTTGTTTTCCTTCTAAACCCATTCATCCTGTTATGCTTATCATTTAGTTCATTTATACCAATGTCCTTCAAGTTATTCCTGCTAATCTTTGCCTCATCTTCTTTCTCCTCTGCCTTATTTAAAGTATGGTTTTTAACGGGGATGGGGTGTGTTCACAAGATGAGCTACTGGGTAGTCAGAACCAAGTACTAAAACTTATTGTTAACTCCTGTTAAAAATGATTAAAGAAAATAAAGTTTGTTTGTATCATTTTTTGGAGAACTACAAAATAGGGTGATGTAGAAAGCTTTTATTGGATAAAGAATAAAGAAAAGGAAGAGAAAAATAGAAAATAGCTGGTTGCCTGGGGCCACATAGTCAAACTTGTCTGGGATACAAAGAAACAGGGAAATAAGTACAGAGCCCAGAGTTCGCTTGGCATTTGGGCTTGGCTGACTGGATATACTGCATTTTGCTTAAGCAGAGTACTAGAATTTACAGGGACAGGAAAGTTAACTAAGTTTTGGTTATCTGATGTGGCACCCTGGGGCAGGAGAAGCTTCATCTTGGGCCTAGAAAGTTATTTCAAC